CAAATCATCTTGTTCGGGATTGAATGATCTAAGGAATATAGTAGAAAAGATCAATTGTATATGCGAAAAAGCAGCGAGTAATAGTGAAATATCAGAGTTGCTTGAAGCGAGTAAAGTTGCTCATCATCAAGCTTTAGGAGACCAATTCAAGGGGTTTGCTTCAAGGGTACTTGGTAGTTCCGGGAATTCCACTCGTCGTATTTTGCTTTCAAGGCGCGGTTTACGCCAAGAGGATCTAGCTGGTTCACTTTCCATGACATTAGAGAAGCTTTATATGTGGGAAGCGAAACTTTTCGCAGAAGTTACAGTCGAAGAAAAGCTTAGGGTTTTGTATGAAAGAGGGTATAAGGTTCTGAAGAAACTTGATCAAACCGGAGCAGAACCGAGCAAGATTTACGAGGCTGAAGCTGTGGTAAAACTCCATTTATCCAAGATTAATGTTGCGGTTAGAGCGGTCGAAACGATTTCTATGAGAATTCATAAGATAAGAGACGAAGAGCTTTGGTTTCAGGTTATTGAGATCATTAACGGATTCAAAGAAATGTGGAGATTCTTGGCGAAATGTCACCATAAGCAGTTTCGAGCGATCACGAGAAGCAAGTCTTGTGTCCACATTGTTGAAAAAGGATCGAGCTCGAGGAAAGCGACGCAGAAGGTGGAAGAACAGATTAGAAGATACAGAGAATCATTGAGAGGTTACATTGATGCACATAGAGGTTTCGTTAAGCTCTTAAACGAATGGCTAAACCGAAACATCACGGAGGACGATGAAACCGAGATCGAGGCTCCAGAGATATTTAGGGTTTGTAGCGAATGGTTAAGAGAGATTGAGAGTGTGGAGGAAGTCAAAGTATTGAGTGCTGTTGAAGAAATGAGATTGATATTTCAAGGGTTAGGGTTCAAGCAAATAGAGGAAGAGAAACAGAGGATGAGAACAGAGAGGCTGTGTAAGGAGTTAGAGAAGAAAACGAATGGGGCCGAGGAGATTTTGGGAACCGCGTTTGTTTTTCCGGCGAGTGATTCTGGTCCGGCGAAGAAGATGATGATGGAACCGGAGTTGTTGTCTTT